CCACCAGGAGCAGGATTTTTTTCAGTGCATGGAGAACAAACTATTATTAGAGATGTCACCAGGGAATGAAACAACTCTCCTCGCAGAAAGCTTGGCAAGTATGGCTTCTTTTCTAAAATATGCAAATTTCTTCTAACTGTTATTAATGAAAATGTAATAGACAGAGGATACAAGAAGTAAATGGCAGTTTGTTCTCAGTCTGACATTTCTTGTAAATGCATGTAGGGTTTCCTGACCCACATCCCTCCGTTTGAGAATTCTTCCCTAAGACAATTTTCCATTTTTTTTTTAACTTCAAATCAACACATATTAAAAAGAACAATTTCTGATTGTGTGACTGTTCCTTTTAATTTTATCCTGGTTTGCCTGAAGTCAAAAAGTTATCAAGAGTCTATTAATGTAGCAAAAGAAAACAAAGTCATTGAAATTACCTTATGGTATTGCCTCGACTCATTTTGTGTTGCTGTAAAAGAATACCACAGACGTTGTTATTTGATAATCAGCATTAATCTGTACATGAGGGTGGATCCCTCATGGCCTAAACGCCTCCCATTAGGTCCCACCTCCCAACACTGGTGATTAAGTTTCCAGCACCTGAACTCTGGAGGACACATGTAAACCATAGTTGGTATCTAAACATTCCTTCCACCAGGTGAAAAAGGTATTGTGGTACCAATAAAGACATCCATTTTCCTTTCCCAAATTCCAAAATTATTGAGAGAAAGATACAGACACCAGAGAGACAAAGAACAAAATAGTAGCTTTATTACTATGAAATAGTGCAAATCTGGGGAATGTGATGTAATACCTGTGATGCATTGATCTTGTTAATGCTTCATCCCCATGATTAGGAAAAACAGGAAAATCGAGTGTTCCCTTGCGAGGTACTGTCTATCAGAAAATAGAAGTTTCTTGCTTACAAGATAAGGTCAAAAGCAGAGAGCAGGAGCAGAATTAAGCATACTCAAGTACTTCTTCCAAATTCATGAATTAAGAAAGTTATATCTCTTCCCATTGGGTAGGGTTATTTACAGAGGGGTGGGGGGGGCGGTGGCTAGAGCCCATCAGTGCACATAAATTGGCTGAAGAGAAATAATTTTTTACTTTTTCTTTCTTTCTTTCTTTTATTTTATGTAAGGATGGGGTCTTGCTCTGTCACCCAGGCTGGAGTACAGGGTCACAATCCTAGCTCACTGCAGCCTGGAATTCCTGGCCTCAAGCAATGCTCCCACCTCAGCCTTCCAAAGCACTGGGATTACAGGAGTGAGTCAGTATACCAGGCCAGGATATAGTTGATTTTTAATATGTTGAATCCATCCTTACAATTGAGAAAATAACTCCCAATCTACATACTTCCAAAGATGAGATTGGAGAGCTACTTTAACACTCTGGATGCGTTTATTTCCAAAGGCATACTTTCACCTTCTGATGTGGCCCTCTGTTAGGACCATGGAGTTTATTGTATGTATTTTGGTGGATTAGGACATGCTGGGTCTTGACCTCAGAGGCATGCTTGATGGTGAAATTCTTAGCAAAGGGCTGTTCCGTGAAAATTAAACACTCCAGACTCCTACTGCTTCCGTCTCTTGTTGTTGTTTAATCTGATGCTGCTTTTACATCTTGAATTAATTATTCTTCCAAAGCTCCTTGATTTGTTTGTCTCATGCAGGGAGAGACAGGCAGGAAAGTTAATTAAATATTTTCTTGTCAGACAGCTGATGAAATCTTCACTGTTACTGGTCTTGGAGTGTGTGTATATGTATATGTGTGTGTGCGTGTGGGTGTTCTTAACTTACTTTTCTGTGAAGAGACTGGAAGTCAGTAATGGTTCCCTTATTTATTTTAATGGCTGGGTGGACTTTGCTTTGAAAAATATCAGACTACAGCAGCACAGAAGCAAAGTGGCAGTAGGGGTCTTACTAGTTGATTTATTAGTGCTCATAAGTAACTAGGGCCATGTCATAGTCAAAACCCCTTTCCTGGGCCTTGGACTACATGGTATATACCTAAAGATCTATTTCACTGCATCCTTTGTGCTGATAGGGGTGGACACAGCTCATTGCCTACAAGGATAAAGGAGGCTGTTGGAGAGAATTGTGTTGCTGCAAGAAGAACAAGACTATTACAAGAGCAAGTATCTGGGTGAGGAACAGGGAGTGAACAATTGGGATGCTGGCAGGACTTAAATATCATCTGGGAGGAGAACGTACCACTTTTGGCAACAAAGAATAATTTTCAGGCCTTTTGCATCTACACTCAAAGCTATTATTTTTTACATTTAGACAGTTTGTTTATATATTAAAAAATAGCATGTATCTTGTCATTAAGGAGACAATAACTTTGAAGAAGAAACATCAGATTTAAGATTCTTTGAGATTATCTTTACTATTATGTAAGCAACAATCTCCTGTCTCAGGGAAGTAAAGCATGGTTTATTATAGGTAGCCAAGCATTTGAGTATATGGTATAGATAAGCTACGTGCATATGGTCCTTTTACAGAAGGATACAATTTCTCCCTTTTTTTTTTTTTTTTTTTTGAGTGGGAGTCTCACTCTGTTGCCCAGGATGGAGTACAGTGGCTGCATCTTGACTCACTGCAACCTCTGCCTCCTGGGTTCAAGAGATTCTTTCCCCTCAGCCTCCTGAGTAGATGGAATTACAGGTGCCACCATGCCCAGCCTCTTTTTTTTTTTTTTTTTTTTTGGATTTTAGTAGAGATGGGGTTTTACCAATTTGCCCAGTGGTTTCAACTACTGAACTCAGGCAATTTGCCTGCCTCAGTCTCCTAAAGCACTGGGATTACAGGTGTGAGAGACTGCGCCCTGCCAAAGGGTTGTTTTGTTGTTGTCATTGTTGTTTTATTTTTTGAGATAGAGTTTCACTCTGTTGCCCAGGCTGGAGTGCAGTGGCACAATCTCCACTCACTGCAACCTCTGCCTCCCAAGTTCAAGTGACTCTCCCTCCTCAGCCTCCTGAGTAGCTGGGATTATTGGTGCACACAATCACCTCCCACTATTTTTGTATTTTTAGTGGAGATGGGGTTTCACCATATTGGCCAGGCTGGTCTTGAACTCCTGATCTCAAATAATCTGCTTGCCTCGGACTCCCAAAGTGCTAGGATTACAGGCATGAGCCACTGTGTGCCAGGCAATATAATTTATTGAAATAAATTATTTACGTGCTGTTTTCAAATCTTTAAGAAAAACTGCCTTGAATGTTTTAGTTTGAATGATGGGAAATGTTTTTGCCACACTGTAAAAGAAATAATAAAATCCTCCAGAGGGCCTTTGCTGCCTTACCTCGTCTCTGTTCTCTCATTCTTGGATGGGAGTTTGAGACTGATTTTCCATATGTCTTTAAAAATATTTGCCTATTATTTAGCCTGAGTGGAATGGTTTCCTAAAATCACCCTCAAGCCCCAATCCTTTGTCAATTAAAGGATCACCTTGATAACAGCACTTTCCTTATTCATTGCAGGTAGAAGGCATCTTTCCTTGATCTCTTCTAATCTGTGGCTCACCTTTACTTTTAATAATTCTTGCACATTGTCTTTCATACCTATTTTGATGCGTTCCCTATTTTCTTACTTATATTTCTTAATCATAGGGACTATATCTTAAGACCTATGTCACATAAATATGAACATTCATTTAACATAGTCTTATCTTCCTGGAATGCATTTCCAATTGAAGGTGGGGTAGAGAAAATAGAGAAATAAATAAGCAAATAACATAAGTTAAACACATTAACACACTGTGATCATTTTTAAAGAAATAAAACAATCGATGGTAGAGAGTGGCCAGGCAGTAGAGGTGGGGTGGATTGCTTTGCATGAAGATGTAGATAGCAGAGGAGTTGAATAATCAGAGGAGACCTCTTGGGTGTTCAAGCTGAGGCTTGAAGAAAAGAAAGAACTGAAGATGCAAATATTTGTTATTAGAGTGTTTTAGGGATAAGCAACAGAGAGCAAGCCTCTTATAGTTGTAAACTTGTAAGGCATAGCAAAGAAAAAAATGGCTAGTATGTGGGTATGTGTTCTCAATCAACATTCAGGAATGGACAGAAGCTGGAGAAGCCATTAGGAAGCCCTACCATGCTGTGAAAAGGATTCTTAAGTAGATGGGTTATACAGACTAAGTTTCATTGCTAAACACCCTTGTGAATGTTGTGTAGAACAGGATTATAAGCATGCCAGAATTACAAGAGAAAGACTAGTTATAAGGAGAATGCATTCATCCAGGTGAGAGTGGATGAGGCTTGAACCAGGGTGGATTATACCATTTCACCCTGGGTTTTGCTGAGAACTAGATAAGTAGGCAATTAAATGAAACCAAGAGCAAGTCTTTGTGGAATGAGGATATGTCTTCATTTTGGCAACCTCTATTTTTAAATCAGGAAAATGTGGGGCAGCATGAATTCTAATCCTTACCTAACCCAAACTCTAACCCTAACACAAGCTAAAGGGATTCGCAGGGGAAATTGTACAGATAAAAGGCTTTATTCTCCTTTGAAAATTTTGATATAGGTTTGATAAAAGTTTATTCTTTTTAAAGATGAACGAAAGACTCTGGGATTCCTTCCAAATAATTATTTATATAAAAATATATATAATTTATAAATATTTCTATATTCTATATTATATATATAAATATACAATATATTTATATATATTATATATAAAGATTATATAAATATATACAATATATTTATATATATTATATATAAAGATTATATAAAGATTTATAAATATATAATTTATAAAAAATATATAAAAATATAAACTCTGGCTAGTCCTGCACTCTGCTTCCAGCAGGGTCTGGCCCTGTAACCCAGGGGACAAGGCCAGCCAAGACATGGCCACTGGGTGCCAGCCAGCGCCTGGGCCAGGCACCAGGTGGGAAGGGCTCTGGCAAATCAGCCCCACATGCCCCACAGCCCCACAGCGGGGCCCATCCAGGGCCACACACCTGCCCCCTGGGTCCAGCTGGACGGATGGGGAGCCCCGCCCTTTGCCCTTTGACTCCACTTGTAGGTGCCCTCGGTGAGCTCCTGTGCACTGCCCCACACCCTGCTCTGTCACCAGCCCCATTGTGATGTCATAAGAGCCCAGCTGCCCACCCACAGACTAGTGGGTGACTCAGGAGTACCCTCTCCATTTCTTACTGTGACTTTTGTCCGAGCGCAACTTGTATGCTATGGGAAATTCTCTAAGCAAATTGTGTTCCTTTATCTGCCGCAGGATCTGGCAGCGGTGGCAACCATGACGGTCTCCACTTGTCCATGCGGACTTTTCGGCTGGCCGGCTTCACCCCGCAGCTCCTGCGCATGTGCCAGCCCCGCGAGCCCTACACGGTTCCCCATTCCTCTTGTTCCCTTCGGGAGGTCTTGGGCCTTATTTTCCATCGAGCTCCAATTTCACCCCGAACTCGAGCGCCCTACTGCGGGACCTGCCTCCTCTTGCCTGGAGCCCCCCGTCAAGGAAGAAACCCATGCTAGGCCACTTGGCACGCGAGGGACCCGTGAAGATCCCTCCTCTAAGCCTAACTTTTCCACTCCGACTGCCTTCGCTACAAGTGCCAGCCCGATCCTGAAGACGGCGGTGAGAACAGAAGAGCCTGAAGAACAGATGGAGGTGGACAATCAGGTAGAGACCCAGGGGCAGGAGGAGAAAGGGGGCCCCTGTAGCAATGCGGGAGTAGCACCCACCTCGAGGCCCCTGGAGACTCAGGGAAACCTCGCTTCCCTCAACTGCAGTCCCAGGACCTTAAGGAGGTATAAGGGAAACCTGACAGAAATGAATCACAATGTAAATGATTACAGTGTGTTAATATGTTTAACTTATGTTATTTGCTTCCATCCCAAGGGCCTTGGAGTGCTCAGCGCACACAGCCCTGCAGGAGGCATCCTTCCCTTTTGGAAGCCTGACCCAGCTCCAGCAGTGCTCCCTGGCCCAGTTCCCGGCTGCTCCCATTGGCCAGACAAGGCGGCCTCTCTGGTACTGGGGAAAGACCACCAGCCCAGCTCCTCAGCCGTGCTGATGGAGTGGGAGGCGACCCAGCACAAGGATCCTCCAGCTCTTGCCACAAAGAGCCCTTCTACACCAAGGGCTGCCAGCCGCAGTTCGCGACAACCAAAATGGTTAGCGCAACCCCAGCAGCTGCCACTGGTCCCTCCGCAGCAATGGAGGTGAGGGAGTGACGGGGGGCCCCCACCCGCTAAACGTACCCGCCAATCCCTGAAAGGATTCACCGGCACCGGCAGGTCAAGTAGAACAACATCATCCAGGAGACTGAAAAAGCAACATGGGAAGAAATTACAGTAAACTGCAATGCCAGCCCACCTGCCCCACCTGCTCTCCCTGCCCCAGGCCACCTACGTGTCACAGATCCCAACTCCTCCTCCTGCCTCTGACTTGACTCATGTGGCTGCTGGGCCCCTCATCCTGCCCGTCCCTTTGCTTTTGACCACACCAAGAATTGAGTAAAAATTGATATCTATGGCTAGGCACAGTGGCTCACTCCTGTAATCCCAGCACTTTGGGAGGCCAAGGCGAGTGGATCACCTGAGGTCAGGAGTTCAAGACCAGCGGACCAACAGGAAGAAACCGGTTGCATCTATACTAAAAATACAAAATTAGGGCCGGGCACGGTGGCTCACGCCTGCAATCCCAGCACTTTGGGAGGCTGAGGTGGGTGGATCAAGAGGTCAAGAGATCAAGACCATCCTGGTCAACATGGTGAAACCCCGTCTCTACTAAAAATACAAAAAATTAGCTGGGCATGGTGGTGCATGCCTGTAATCCCAGCTACTCGGGAGGCTGAGGCAGGAGAATCGCTAGAACCCAGTAGGCACAGCTTGCGGTGACCTGAGATCGCACCTTTGCACACCAGCCTGGGCAAGAAAAACAAAATTCCATATAGATACAAAGAATGTTTGCATGTAGATATCTTGCAACAATACAACGTGAAGAAACTTGCAGATCAACAAATGTAGGGACCTCATAAAATTCAAATGACAATTTTAATGTATTGGAAGAAAGGCAGAACAGTCACTCCCCTCCACCGTGAGAAAGTGGTGCTTCCTGCCCACCTGCAGATTGTCCTGAGATCCGTGGCAGCACGCTTTGTAGAAACTGGATGCTTCCATCACTCATCCCTAAAGTTACACAGAGGCTCTTTCTACATCCTTTGGCCTGGAGCAGCACTGAGGCCACCCTGGTGAGTAAATGCGAAAAACCAGTGGCTCCGGAAAAGGTGTAACCCATCTGACATACTCAAGATAGGTCAAACATCCCACTGGAAAATGGAAACGTGCGGTGAATGCCATTGGGCAGAGTGTCATCGACAAGCACTGGCTCAGGTGCCCGGGCTTTGTGATTTGCCTCCTGTGTGCCTCAGGGCAGCCGACTGACCCCTCAAGGCTGCAGCAAAACAGTGGTAAAAACACCCCAGCAGCTGCTGTGTGCATTAAATGAGGCCTCATTGAAAACATATTTTTCGTAGTTTCTGGTCTAGTGCTCTATAAATATCACTATATGTATTACCAACATTGTAATTGTATTGATTAAAAATCTGTTTTTGTTAAAATATATAGATTTATTTATTTATTTATATTTATATAAACTCTGCATCTCAACTGGCGCTCCTGCAAAGAAGAGGCTCCCTCCTTCGTTTGGATGAAGCAGAACTGATCTGACAAATTGGACCCTAAGAGGACACAGTGTTAAGTAAATTAGGCCAAAATGTATAGGACTCAAGAAAATCTCTGTTTTATTATCCTATAATGCCCTTAATTATATCAGTTGTACACCCTTAAAATACCCATCTCATGTCAGTACTTCTGTAAAATTGTTTCTACTCTGATACCTTGAAATTTTGTGCCACCTTGAAAAATAATTTCTCTGTGTACCTAGAAATTTTACCTTCATAATTAGAGTGATATCATCAGGAAAGCACAGACTGGGTCTTATAATATCATTAGACACTCAGTGCCAACAAAGTCATTCATCTAGCTAGAGTTCCATAAATGTTTGGGGTAATACTAATGACAAAATTGTTCACTATCCCTAAAACTACTATTCTGTGCCTTGACATGAGGACAAATTACCTGATGAGTACATGCGTACTGGGTAACCTCTAGTTACACCCCACATGGGTAGTTCTCTTTATAGGGTTGTAGAAAATGCTTCCTTCTCCTGATTCCTGATCCTTGCTGTTGATCTTATTGACACTGAGGTTTCTTGACAACCCCTGCTCTGTCCAAGGGCAGTGACAGGTTGATATGCTAATTGCTGGTTTCTTCTTGGGCCTGCACTGCTCTTCATTGCCGAGAAGAAAGATGCCATGTCAGTAAAATACATCTTTTGCATTAACTGGTAAGAATAAGATGAGCTATGCCACTTGACTGCCTCAAAGCTGTGGTGTTCAGTGACCCTGACCGCTCCTTTAGCCTGAGCTGAATATGAACAGTGACCTCAAATTGAACACTTTCATTGGCTCTTCCTAAATGCCTAACCCTTCAATTCCCCTAGGGACTTGGATGTTTTGTTTTGCAAATAGAAATGTCAAAAAGTCCATCTATACATTTATATTTAGTGATCCAGCGAAAAATTCTGGCTACAGATTTATTTACTTAGGGAATGGTTCTAAGCTGTGAATCAGCTGGAGGTGTGTGGATACCTGTGTGAAAGATGGCATTGGTTTCCGAAAACGCCCTGCCCTCTGTCTTCTGTCTCACCTTGCTAGACATACTGGGCGGTACCAGCAGCTGCAAGATAAGCATCCTGGTTTACTCTGCTTTGGGACAGCGTGATGAGAATCAGCCGAGAGACGGAAATTTTAAAAGATGTTTTATTAATGTGTCCCTTGACGGTTCATTTGCTAAGGGTTTACAAATGCTTTATCAATTATTAATGATCTTTATACCTAGCTTTAAAAGATCCTTAAAGTTGGGAAGGATATGGGCTTTGAATAATTCACAGTCACTGCTACTTCTACTAAACAAATGCCTTTTAACAGGTAAAGCCAAGATAATCTGGATTAAATTTGTTTATCTCTGGGTTTGTTTCCTTTTCATTCCTCAGTGAATGAAGATTGCACCTGGAAGAACAGGGCACATCATCTAGTTGTTAAAATTGGAACCTAGGAGCCAGGATGTGCACGGTTTCAAGCTAATGTTTCTCCTGACCTTGGATAACAGTTCAAAGTCATTTAATAGGTCACTCTTCTTGACATTTTCAGATTTCTCAGGCTCTGTTCTGCTACTCGTTTCTAAATGAATTATTGAAAATGAATTTAACCAGCCACCCATTAGTTTGCACTTTTCTCACTCTCCCTATCTCACTTTTGGCCTGGCTTTTTTCTTGTAAAGATTAAAACTATGACTATCTCTGCATCCTCTCAGTAGATGCTTTTTCTGATTCCTCGATACTTCACACTTAGATTTTGCTGCTTTTAACCAAATGCAGTTTGAACTCAAAGGGCATTTTGCATTTCCTGTGTGTGCGTGTGCACGTGTGTATAAATGTGTGGGTGTTTCAAGGTCAAGAAGCACAGTGAATTTTCAGACAGGCCAACTTCAAAATAGAAGACAGCTAGAGGAGGAAAGCATTTAGAATGGGCAGCACACAGTAAATCAAGGTGAAGTTGGTTGGTGAGAGTCCTTTTCTCTGATTTTTATTACATGGTTCTGAGACAGTTAACCTGGTTATAGATTGGTCTGTGTAAGAAGAGCTAGAAGGTACAATAAGATGAGTTTGTTCCAGGAGATTCAATTCTGATGAGAAAACATCAATCTCAGACAGAAGGCAAGAATTTACATAATAAAGTATGATGGCAAATTTTATGTGATAACTTTACTGAAGCCAACATGTACTCAGATTAAATATTTCTGTGTGTGTCTGTGAGGGTGTTCCCGAATGACACTAAGATTTGAATTAGTGGTCTCCATAAAGTAGATTGCCTTCCCCAATGTGAGTAGCCATTATTTAATTCATTGAGGCCCTGAATAGAATAAAAGGCAAGGGAAGAAGGATTTACCCTCTTTTGTTTCTTGCCTGCCTGTTTTAGATTAGACAGTGGTCTTCTGCCCTTGAATTAGAATTACACCTTCAGCATCTTAGGTTTCTAGGCCTTTGAACTCAAACTGGAATTATGCCCCTGGCTTTTCTGAATCTTTAACTTCAGATTATATCGTGGGACAGTCAGCCTCATGATCATATAAGTGTTTTCCTAAAAGAAAACTCAAACTCTCTCTCTCTCTCTCTCTCTCTCTCTCTCTCTCTCTCTATATATATATATATATATATATATATATATATATATAGATGTGTGTGTATATATATATATATATACACATATACACACATATTTATATGTTTATATATTATATATGTTTTATATATACACAGAAATGTGTATATATATATATATACAAATAGACACATATTTATATGTTTAATATTATATATGTTGTTTTATATATACACATTTATGTGTGTGTGAGTATACATTTATCTTATTGATTCTATTTCTCAGAAGAACTCTGACTATATAGGAGTTATTGCATTTTAGTTATTGGAAATTGTGATAAAATAGGACTCCAATCAATAGTTGGGAACACAAAGAATAATGGCTCAACACAGTGGGATAGGGAAATACAAGGGATTGCCATAGTCTCTGGTGGATATTATGGACTTGGATGGTATTTCTTCCAGTGACCAGAAGGAATCTCAAGAAGATAGTTTCAGATATGTATATTTTAGTACCACACCCAAGGCAAGGCAGAAGCAGACCTATGTGTTAACTCACAGATCCAGCACAACAGACATGTAACTTTGGATCTGAAATTCGTACACGCAGTACCCCCCTCTTTCTGTCTCAGCACCAAAATTGTGCTCTTCTTTAATTCACCAGATCAAATTCCTCCTCATCTGGTCCCTGGCCTAAAACTGAAGTTGATCTATTTATGTTGAGCCTTAGATTTCCTGTTGTGTCTCTCAGAAATTTCATCTCTTGCCTTCGTTTCTCTGCTTCCATGCTAACTTTCTAATAACTCCCTCTCTTCAGAACTTCTTGAGAAACTTTTCCCAACATGTTGTGTGACTCAGAGACCTGTACCGTCAACACTGACTACCCTTTACTGTAAACTCCAACCTCACATTGCAGGAATAATCAGTAATAAAACAAATGCTAATGCTCATAAGACACTGATGTTGAGTCTACTGATGCCAGTTCTGTTCTGGTAGGATTTATTCTGAGAGACAGAGTCTTTGTCAGCCTAGGACCCAACAGAAACTAAGCAAACACTCAAATTAGGATATGTCAATAATTATTTGTTCTCAAAGCATTATCCCCAAAGATGTGGGAGTACAGAATCACAAAGAAGAGTTTGGTCATCCAGAGTTTATTCCTCAAAAACTCAAAACTAGGAGGTCAAAAGGAATGTGTAAAAACAAAGAGGAAAAGAATGCTGCAGTGTGTTGCCCACTTTGAGAAGAACAGTACTTTTGGGGATGAACACAGCCACCCTGGAGTAGAGACATGGAAGGAGTTAGAGGACATAAGAAAAGAAGTCTCCAGACCTCAATTCTCTTTTTTCTTTGATCTCTAACTGGGAACCCCACTGGAAGAATGTAACTGAAAGCTAGAGGATGCGGAAACTCAGCAATGTAGTCCCCATGAGATAGTAGTATTCAACCCCACCACTCTCATTACACCAACTAATGTGATTACCATCTGTGTTCCCACCCAAATCTCATGTTGAATTCTAATCTTCAATGTTGGAGGAAGGACCTGCTGGGAGATGCCTGGGTCGTGCGGGTGGATTTCCCCCTCGCTGTTCTCATGATAGTGAATGAATTCTAATGAAATCTGATTGTTTAAAACTGTGTAGCATCTCCTTCCTTTGTTCTCTTTCTCCTGCACTGCGTAGATGTGACTGCTTCCCCTTCACCTTCCATCATAATTGTAAGTTTTCTGAGCCTTAATGTGAGACATTGAGTCAAAGGAGATTATTTTGGAACATTAAGATTCAATGATTGCCCTGCTAGGTTTCAGACTTGCACAGGGCCTGTATCCCTTTTCTTTTGGCCAATTTCTTCCTTTTGTAATGGGAGTATTTACCCAATTCCTGTACCCCCATTGTATTTTGAAAGTAACTAACTTGTTTTTTGATTCTGGTTCATAGGTAAAAGGGGCTTGCCTTGTGTCAGATGAGACTTTGGACTGTGGGCTTTTGAGTTAATGCTGGAAAGAGTTAAAAATTTGAGGCTGGCACAGTGGTTCATGCTTATAATCCCAGAACTTTGGGAGGCTAAGGCTGGTGGATTCCCTGAGGTTGGGAGTTCAAGACCAGCCTGGCAAACATGAAGAAACCCCATCTCTACTAAAAACATACAAAATTAGCTGGGTGTGGTGCCACATGCCTGTAATCCCAGCTACTCAGTAGGCTGAGGCAGGAGAATCACTTGAACCTGGAAGATGGAGGTGGCAGTGAGCCAAGATTCCGCCATTGCACACCAGCCTGGGCCACAAGAGCAA